CTTCCTATTATCTTAGCATCATCAGCAAACATGTTCATATAATTCTGTATTTCATCTGGTAGATTGTTTATGTAGACAATGAACATCTTCGGTGCAAGATCTGAGCCCTGTGGTACTCCACTTGTAACATTTCTCCAGTCTGATACATTGCCTCTGATTACTGCACTCATTTTCCTATAAGTCAGAAAAGTTTTCATCCATGTTAGAAGCTTACCTGTCACCCCTCCAATATTTTCCAGTTTCCGGAACAACCTCTTTATGTGGAACTCTATCAAAAGCGTTTTTTAGGTCCAGATAGATGCAGTCAACCCAACCATCTCTTTCCTGTAAAATCTCTGTTGCTCGATCATAGAAACTGAGTAAATTCGATACACCGGATCTTCTAGATCAAAAACCATACTGTCTGTCTGATGTTATATAATTTCTCCCCCAGTGTTCTACCCATTTAGTTTTTATTATTTTTTCCAATATTTTGACTATTACACTTGTCAATGATACAGGTCTATAATTGAGTGGGTCTTCTCTGCTGTCACTTTTGTAGATTTGAAGTATTCTGTTTGTGTGTGTAGCATGTGCATTAATTCAAGTAGAGTGGCTGTGTGTTATCTGTAGCTGCAGCTGTAGAGAAACACAATTTTTGTTTAATGAGGATATATATTTTATTCAGGTTTTCCTTATTTTCAGTTCACATTCAGGAAAATCAAAATAGGAAGATCAGGGAAGCGAAAGACAAGAATGTAGAGCAAGAGGATAAGTCCTTGAAAAAAATGAAGAAACACCGACTTTCTCAAGATACAACTGTGACAGGTAATCAAAACTCATTCTTCGATTTCTAAGCAAAACTTGTACTCACCTAGTTGTGTTTGCAGGGGATGAGGATTGGCTCTATGGTCCCGTGTTTCAACTGTCAACAACATTTTCAAATGTCTTTTCTTGGATCTAAATAATACGAAACCTCGCTTTATGATTCGAAGTTAAAATCCTCAAATTTGGTATAATAGTGACTTTTTCACGTTTTTCATGTAGTTTGATATTACGTAAATATATTCATTTTTACCAATATTTCGATACTATTTCATGTAGTATCACGATATGTGATTTGGCCTTTAAATCTCAGAATTTCGCAAATTTTGCATTTTTAAGCAAGTTTTCTTGCATTTTGTTTTGTACTAAAAATCATCGAATTTAGCAATAGTTTGACCTTTATCATCCCCTTTTCCTTTAGGTGATTTAAACAAAACATCATCGAATTAGGCAATATTTTGCCGTTTTTCCACGTTTTTGTGAATTTTCAGTTTATTGTTATTAATTCATTAAATATACGATAAAAATTATGCAAAAACATAATTGATCAGAAAATAACCCCAAATACTTCATTTTCAATCATCTATTTGTTTCTCGTTAAAATACTGAGTAAGATATTGAAAAGGGGAGAAGTTCTGTTTTTATTGCATATATCGATAAAATTATGTGTTGCATATATCGATAAAATTATGTGTCATATAAATTATGTGTTTGCATAATTTTTATCGTATATTTAATGAATTAATAACAATAAACTGAAAATTCACAAAAACGTGGAAAAACGGCAAAATATTGCCAAATTCGATGATATTTTGTTTAAATCACATAAAGGAAAAGGGGATGATAAAGGTCAAAATATTGATAAATTCGATGATTTTTAGTACAAAACAAAATGCAAGAAAACTTGCTTAAAAATGCAAAATTTGTGAAATTCTGAAATTTGAAGGCCAAATCACATATCGTGAGAAAACATGAAGTAGTATCGAAATATTGGTAAAAACGAATATATTTACGTAAAATCACACTACATGAATAACGTGAAAAAAGTCACTATATTACCATATTTGAGGATTTTAACTTCAAATCATTAAACGAGGTTTTGAATTATTTAGATCCAAGAAAAGACATATGACACTGTTGTTTCAAATACAAATGATAAAAATCAATGTGTTTTCATTAGAATTAACTAAAATATTCCTGATTAGGCTCAAGAGAGTGATGCAGAGGCTCAGGAGAGTGATGCAGAGGCTTAAGAGAGGGATGCAGTTGAGCCTCTGCATCACTCTCTTGAGCCTCGTCATCCCTCTCTTAAGCCTCTGCATCACTCTTTTGAGCCTCTGCATCCCTCTCTTGAGCATCTGCATCACTATCTTGAGCCTCTGCATCACTCTCTTGAGCCTCTGCATCCCTCTCTTAAGCCTCTGCATCACTCTCTTGAGCCTCAGCATCACTCTTTTGAGCTTCTGCCTCCCTCTCTTGAGCCTCTGCATCACTCTCGTCAGCCTCTGCATCCTTCTCTTGAGCCTCTGCATCATTCTCCAAGGCCTCTGCATCACTCTCTTGAGCCTCTGCATCACTCTCTTACGCCTCTGCATCACTCTCGAAAGCCTCTGAATCACTCTCTTCAGCCTCTGCATCACTCTCTTGAGCCCCTGCATCCCTCTCTTGAGACTCTGCATCACTCTCTTGAGCCTCTGCATCACCCTTTTAAGCCTCTGCATCCCTCTTTAGAGCCTCTGCATCACTTTCTTAAGCCTCTGCATCACTCTCTTAAGCCTCTGCATCACTCTCGTAAACCTCTAAATCACTCTCTTGAGCCTGTGCATCATTCTCTTGAGCCTCTTCAACTCTCTCTTCAGCCTCTGCATCACTCTCTTCAGCCTCTGCATCCCTCTCTTAAGCCTTTGCATCACTCACTTAAGCCTCTGCATCACTCTCTTAAGCCTCTGCATCACTCTCGTAAACCTCTGAATCACTCTCTTGAGCCTCTGCATCCCTCTCTTGAGGTTCTGCATCACTCTCAAGAGCCTCTGCATCCCTCTCTTGTGCCTCTTCATCCCTCACTTGAGCCTCTTTGCATCACTCTCCTGAGTTCATTAAATATACGATAAAAATGATGCAAACACATAATTGATTAGATAATATCCTTAAATACTTCATTTTCAATCAACTATTTGTTTCTCGTTAAAATCCTGAGTAAGATATTGAAAAGGAGAGAAGTTCGGTTTTTATTGCATATATCGACGTTTCAGCCGAAATAGAGCGGTTTTACGTGTACATCTTCCTTCGGTAATATAAACGGAAAATCAGGAACATTTTATTTAATTCTAATGAAAACACATTGATTTTTATCATTTGTATTTGAGACCTTAAACACCTTCATTTTCAATCAACTATTTGTTTCTCGTAAAAATACAGAGTAAGATATCATATATCATATATCTTTTCTTGGATCTAAATAATACGAAACCTCGCTCAATGATTTGAAGTCAAAATCCTCAAATATGATAATATAGTGACTTTTTTCACGTTGTTCATGTGGTGTGATTTTACGTATATATATTCGTTTTTACCAATATTTCGATACTACTTCATGTTTTCTCACGATATGTGATTTGGCCTTCAAATCTCAGAATTTCACAAATTATGCATTTTTAAGCAAGTTTTCTTGCATTTTGTTTTGTACTAAAAATCATCGAATTTAGCAATATTTTGACCTTTAGAATCCACTTTTCCTTCATGTAATTTAAACAAAATATCATGGAATTAGACAATATTTTGCCGTTTTTCCACGTTTTTGTGAATTTTCAGTTTATTGTTATTAATTCATAAATATACGATAAAAATTATGCAAACACATAATTGATCAGAAAATAACCTTAAATACTGCATTTTCAATCATCTATTTGTTTCTCGTTAAAATACAGAGTAAGATATTGAAAAGGGGAGAAGTTCTGTTTTTATTGCATATATCGACGTTTCAGCCGGATTAGAACGGTTTTACGTGCACATCTTCCATCGGTAATATAAACCGAAAATCAGGAACATTTTAGTTAATTTTAATGAAAACACATTGATTTTTATCATTTGTATAGGAAGCAACATCTTTATACGTCTTTTTTTAGGGTCTAAAAAATAACGAAACGTCGCTTTATGATTCGAAGTTAAAATCCTCAAATTTCGTATAATAGTGACTTTTTCACGTTTTTCATGTAGTTTGATATTACGTAAATATGTTCATTTTTACCAATATTTCGATACTATTTCATGTAGTATCACGATATGTGATTTGGCCTTCATATCTCAGATTTTCGCATAATACTGCATTTGAAGGAAGTTTTCTTGCATTTTGTTTCATCATCCCTCATTCCTGCATTTGAAGGAATGAGAACGAAGGGATGGATCTGCGGCGAGAGGGAAGACGATGGGAAGGGCGGGATGGGATAGGGGCGGGAGTGGGAAGGGCAGAAGGATGGAGGATGAGCAGGTTTATGAGAGGGAGGAAAAGGGAAGGAGAAGGTGCCAGAACGAGAGGAGGGAGTTTGGTAGTAAAATAGGAGAGGGAGTGGGGAGGGTGATGATAGATGGTTATGATAAATGGATAGATTAATGGAAAATTTATATAGGTAGATGGATGGATGGATACATTGATTGCTAAATATATATATTGACGGATAGACGGATGCACAGATGAGTTGATGGACGGAAAGACAGATGACTAGATGGATGGATAGAAAGATGAGTTGATGGACGGATACATGGATAGATAGATGTATATAATGATAAATGGTTGATTTAATGGGAAGATAGATTGATGGATTGACAGATGTAAGTAGATAGATAGATGGATACATTGATGGATACATTTGTGCTAGGTGAACAGTCGAATCAGGTTAAAGAATATCTTTCGATTTGCTATTGCATCAACCGGGATTCGATCGGGGACCATTAGGATTATTACCATCGAACTCTCTCCATTTAGACGCTAGGCCTCCAGTTTGTGTGTGTGTGTGTGTGTGTATGTGTGTGTGTGTGTTTGTGTGTGTGTTAGTTAGAGAGAAATAGATGTAGTAGATATAAAAGAGGATAAATACATTTATTTGATAGGCGGGGTCCAAGAGCTAATAACTCGATTCTGCAGATACATATAGTAGATACAAGGATAAAACACCACACACACACACACACACACACACACACACACACACACACACACACACACACACACACACACACACACACACACACACACACACACACACACACCCACACACACACACACACACACAAAGGGGCCTCGTAACCTGGTGGATAGCGCGCAGGACTCGTAATTCTGTGGCGCGGGTTCGATTCCCGCACGAGGCAGAAACAAATGGGCAAAGTTTCTTTCACCCTGAATGCCCCTGTTACCTTGCAGTAAATAGGTACCTAGGAGTTAGTCAGCTGTCACGGGCTGCTTCCTGGGGTGTGTGTGTGTGTGTGTGTGTGGTGTGAAAAAAAAAAGTAGTTAGTGTAGTTAGTAAACAGTTGATTGACAGTTGAGAGGCGGGCCGAAAGAGCAAAGCTCAACCCCCGCAAAACACAACTAGGTGAATACAACTAGGTGAATACACACAGACACACTAGTTGATAATGGACTGTTTTGTGTTCGTATCCATGTGTACTATTGTCATGACCGACAGACACGTGAAGCTATATGTGTTTATGTGTACCTGTAATTAAACTGACATGTGTACGGTAATTATCTGTATGTGTCCATTTAAAGGTACATATTAGTGAATGTTTATTTATGTAAATTGATTGACATATGTACGTATGCGCGCGTTTAGTGTTACTGTAATTTATGTGGTTAACATGTATACGTTTGAATGACATTTGAGCCATCAAATCTGAGATATGAAGGCCAAATCACATATCGTGATACTATATGAAATAGTATCGAAATATTGGAAAAAATGAATATATTTACATAATATCAAACTACATGAAAAACATGAAAAAGT